ATAATACAATTTAGTATTTACAAATGCAGATCTCTACCCTGTATTTCAAAATCCTTCTCTTACCATCCCTGTTCCACAATCTCCTCAACATTTTGTACATTTTAAAAGTCCATGATAAGTTATTTTATTTTAGGGCTTTTTAATTGAATCCATATACACACACACGGAGAGAGAGGTAGTTCTGGATATATTAAAAGCTGCTAATGACTATCGAAAATTTTGGGTCCAACTGTGATAGAAACAAAAAACTATTGTTTTCTAAGAAAGAAATTTATATCATTGTTTAGTTCTATTTTTATTTGTATCCTTTTTGTTTTAGTTTAAATGATAGCAAGTTAACCTGCTATTTCTTAAAAATCTAAGAAATAGTTGGATGCTAAGAATAAGCTTACATTTTGTGCATTGAACAAATGTGTATTTCTATGAGTCTGCATCTTTTATATCAAAAAATATCCAGAACAGTATGGGCCACTTACAGAAGATTGAGGTTTGTTTGTTTGTTTGTTTGTTTGTTTGTTTGTTTGTTTGTTTGTTTGTTTGTTTGTTTATTTATTTATTTATTTATTTATTTATTTATTTATTTATTTATTTACATTTATATCCCGCCCTTCTCCTTGCGGACTCAGGGCTGACTGCAGGGATGCTGATATATAATGAATATGTCTTACTTTTTTCTGTATATTTTTTTACTGCTGCTTAATATGGTCAGTTTACTCATCGGTAAATTGTGGACTGAATTGTATACAAAATGGACTATTTTATGGATATGTTTTTAAATAAAGTGAGATTAAAAATGAAAATGTTAAAACTATGTGTTCCGCTGTTTCTAGAGCTTATGAAACATCGAAAATGTACCGGGAACTGAAGTTGAGATCTGCATTAATTCAGAACAAGCAATTAAGATTGTTACCAAAAGAACAAGTGTATGACAAAATAAATGGTGTTTGGAACTTATCTAGTGACCAGGTATGAGGTGGCATGAGAAAACAATATTTAAAAAGTGGTTTCTTAAAAAATGTCTAATGTGCCAAAAGGATTGTATAACCCATACACAATCTATTTTATTATAGTATGTGGAATAGTAGACTGTTCTTAGCATTAATACTTCTGATCAAATCAGATCTTTATTACAGTCATAGACCAGCATAATTAATACTTCATTGTCCCATAAAGACTATCCAAGTCACTTAAAACTTAGGGCAGTACAAGAAGTAATGACCATAGTAAGAAAACAGTAGATAATTTAGGAACAAAATGTAACAAGCATTGCATTTGTAAATGAGGAAAGCTATGTAAAGCAGTTTCAAGACAAAGAACTTATATAAAATCAGAAATAAAGTAAGTTAATATTGTAAAAGCAGAGTTGAGAGGGAGCTAGCCAGTTTCCTATAGATACAGTTGTGCAACCACAAACCATGATGAACAGTGCATTAAACAGAAGTATGCTTGTGTATGTGCCAAAGCTGCAAGTAGAGCTGGGTTGGTTTTTTTTAACTCTTCTAAAATGCAATAGATCTTTTGTACATACTCTTCATGCTATTTATCATTAGTTAGAAAAATGGAAAGTGATTTTTAAAGAGGAAGGTAACCTGTCCGTATTTTCACTACTTTATGATGTTTTAATTGAATTTAGTTGACACATCAGGTTAATGTCAACAGGCATGGCTTATTGTGTCAGGTGGAAATGTCACAACCATATAGCTTGAAAACCTAAATTGTATACTTTTACAGGTATAAATCTAGCTCAGTGCTTCTGTCTTTGAACCACTACAATAACTACTGCAATAATTATCATAGTTATAGTAATTAGAAAGGAATCAGAATAATTATCACAGGAAAGCATTGTTACATTTACTAAGACGTTTTATTTGCTGTAGATAGTTAGACTGTATTTCCTGAGGCAGGAACCACTAAAACTATGATCTTCCAACTTTGACGTCTATTAAACTTACCGTTTGTTATATAATAGTATTATATTATAGGATCAGAAATATTTATTTATATATTTATCAATTTATCAAGCAGCAATACCTACCATCTCTCCAAAGGCAACTCTAGGTGACTTACAGACATTGAATAAAATGCACTAAAAACATTAAAACAATAAATAAGGATCTTAAATTAAAAAAAATAAAATAAAACTAAGCAAGATGGAGAGGGAAGGAACAAAAGGCACACAGGGAGTAGGTGGGGTGTTCTCTACTCCATTAGCCACCTCCAACATGCTACCAACGTGCCACCTCATTAGGGCCCCAGGCTAGTTGCCATAGGCATGTCTTCAGGACCTTTTGGAAGGCCAAAATGATGGGAGCAGATCTGACTCCAAGGGACAAGATGTTCCAGAGGGTGGGAACCACAGCCGAAAAGGTTCTTCATCTGGACTCTGCCAGGTGAAATTCCTTGGCTTAATGGGGTACGTAGCATGCCTCTTCTGCCAGCACAAGTGGGGCGGGCTAATCCCATCGGGGTGAGCCAGTTTCTCAGATAGTCTGGACCCATACCATGAAGGGCTTTAAAGGTGACAAAACCTTGAATTGGATTCGGGAGCAAACTGGCAGCCAGTGCAACTTGAGGAATAGCGATGTAATATGGGCCACCCTAGAGGCCTCAAGAACTGCCCATGCAGCTGTTTTCTGGCAATTGTTGCTCAATTGTTTTTCAGTTGTTTCTAACTCTGTGAGCCAAATCAAATCTTTATTATAATCATAGATGGGTACAGCTTGTTCAGTTGGATCTCAGGAATTATTTTAAAAAATTCACAAAGGAACATTTTCTCACATAGAGTTGTTTTAACATCTAAGAGTTTAGCTAAAATACCGTAGGAAGAAAATCAGCATTACGGAGCAAAACAGCTCTTTTTGAATACTGTCACTTTGATATTAGTAGTTGCCTCTGGAACAATCTAAATTTAACTTGCATGCCATTGTATTTGAATAGCATATTATTTTGAGAACTTGGCAGGAATATCAGAGAGTTTCCTCCTTTGTAGCATGATTTCTATTACAGGTGATTCCCAATGAGTTTCTTACTTAAATAAGTGTTTAAATGTCAGTTTTACTTTAGGAAATGTGCTGTTCTATTTAGACTTTACACAAATATGTAGACATATGAAGGATTCAGGGAGCCTGATTTATTTTGCTTTATTTCTTTTTCTAGGGAAACCTGGGTACATTTTTTATTACAAATGTTAGAGTGGTTTGGCACGCTAATATGAATGATAGCTTTAATGTCAGTATACCATATCTGCAAATTGTAAGTAGCTACAATTATCTCTCTTATTAGTAATGATCACATATTATATTATTTTAATTGTGCAAAATGTATACTTGGCTCTTGCAATTGAAATCAGTAATCTTTCACTCCCCTACCAGATCACCCACATGTGCTCATAAGTGGGTGTATGTATGGGTTGTTAGGGTTTAATTATATGTGAAGCTATCTCCTTGTTAATATAGTACTCCATTTTCAAATGGCTGTAATTATTAGGATTGTGTCATTTGAAAAGGAAGCATTTAAGCTTTCCTTCCCTAACTGCAAGTCTCATGGAAGAGGACTACTCATTTCTCAGACTAATTATCTTTTTGCTGAGACCGTGGATAAGTAGTGGAGACGTCACACACATCAGTGCCATTGACACTTCTATCTCCCACAATTGTAATTTTGTTAAAAAACAAACAAACTGTAAATTGCACAACACTCATGTCTGATTAGTACTAAAGATCTCTTTATCATGTTTATGAGGCAAGTTAGCAGTATTTTCACTACAGTGAAACAGTGGAGAAAGGAAATTAAGCAATAATACATATTAGAGGTGGTATGATGAGCGGCATTCGGTATGTGTAAACTAGAAACTTTGCTTTGGATGTCATGGTCTAAATTAGGAAATTATACCACTCTTTAAATGTGCCAAACTTTATTTGGTTTCCAAGGTAATTATTGTCATGCCAGCTAAAGATGTTGTGGAAGTAACCATACAAATATTAAATTCTGATTTATCACAATATCACGAAAGTTTGCTTTTTCAGTGTGTTTTTTGGTTTTCTCTTTTCAAATATTTTGCATAATTACAAAGAGCTTAATTGCAAGAGACTGTATTGGTATTTTCAGTTACTTTTGTTAAGAATCTATTTTAAAAATGTTTTAACACATATATTTTTATAATCTTTGCATCCAGCGTTCTATAAAGATTAGAGATTCAAAATTTGGCTTGGCACTTGTCATTGAAAGTTCTCAGGCGGTAAGAAACTAATGGTATAATTTATTTATTTCAGTTCATATACCATTTGATTTATAATAAACATATTTTACTTTCTGTTATTCAGTTCTAGAGAAATTATTGCTTTGATTAGCATAACATAGTAGCCTGGTATTTTACTTGGTAAATAAGCCTAAGTATTGAAAAGACATAATAATGACCATGATAAATTAGCAGCAGGTGGCCAATCAGATCTCTGAATGAAACATGCCATACCAGCTTGGTCATGTACTATTTTTGAGCAATGTATTCCTATAAAAATTCCTATAAAAATTGTGACTGCAGTCTTGAAATTGTCTGCTTCTGAGAAGTTGGAGTAAGACTGAATAAATGGCTTTGGAAATGCATGTGTCATTGCTTATTACTTTTCTCATGCTGCTGCTGAGATTAGTATTTAAAAATAGCTTCCAGCCTTGAACTGTCCAGTTGCTTTTGTAACAGTATCTTAAAAATTATATTCATTCACAAAAAAATGGTACATGAAAATGAACACATGGAAACCCAACTAAAATGCATTGTATTATACACACACACACACACACATATATATACACATACAAATTATCTAATATACATATATATTATACAATGCATTTTAGTTGGGTTTACACACAGACACACACTTTATGTATAGACATATACTGTGTGTATATTGTGTATTTCTCCATCCATCCATCCATCCATCCATCCATCCATCCATCTATCTATCTATCTATCTATCTATCTATCTATCTGTAGATAGTATCTATCTATACTTCTGATTAAGAAGTAACTCTCACTGCATCTTCTAGTTGTTTTTCTTAAATGTTCAGTTTATCTGTATTACACATTTAAACATGATTTATGGTAAAGTAATACCGTGCCATTGATTTCTCATATGATAATGAACCATTTTTGAATCCATAAAATATACTTGATTTACTGAATTTGGATAATTATGCTCAAGCATAATTATTATGTAAGTTTTGTTTAACATATTACTCTTTTACAGACTGGAGGATATGTGCTTGGATTTAAGATTGACCCAATTGAAAAATTAGAGGAAACCGCAAAAGAAATAAATTCATTGCATAAAGTGTTTTCAGTCAGTCCTATATTTGGAGTAGATTATGAAATGGAAGAAAAGGTACACTTTTTGAAATTTCAATAAATCCCAGCTTTTGTTTAAAGATATTAAAGAAATGTAGGTTGTTGTTTCAATTTTTTTTCTTTATTAATATTCAGCCTCAGCAGCTCGAAGATTTGACCGTAGAACAAATAGAGGAGGATGTAGAAATAGAGGCAAATGAGCAGACAGATGCCTTTGTGGTAAGTGTCTCTTAAACCTAATAAGCTCCCTGTATGGTTATGTGTACTAAACTGGTCAGTAAATTGTAATGAGCTCACAAACCGTGTCAAAATGTTAATAAACTAAGATGTATCTCTTGGATGTAATATTACACTAACAATTGTCATTTTATGCTATTAATCGAGTAACCTAAGAAATTATCAGTTAAAGTTAGTTGTCCTTTATTCATTTACTTATTTATAACTATTGTGTGCTGCCTATTCAAGCAACAGTTTATTTTCAAACAGTGAGAAATAACATTACATTAAACAAAAAATCCCAGCTCTTTTTTTAATACTAGGAATAAATTAGTTGTTTAGTTGCATGTGATATATCAGTTCAAAGCTAATTGTTTATTTGCTGTAAGTTCTATATTTAGAACAGTGGTTCTCAACCTGTGGGTCAGGACCCCATTTGGGGTTGATCGACCATTTCATGGGGGTCGCCAAGCAAGGCTGTCCGCCATTTTTTTGTCCGCCATTTTTTTTGTCCGCCATTTTTTCCCCCTTTTCCAGCGGGTGCCTTACCTCCCTTGGGCTGGGCCAGCTGGTGGTCGGCCTGCTCCGTCTCTGCCGCTTGCCAGCTATGCCTCGGCCGGCGCAGGGGGCGGAACCATGCATGCGCGACGCTCCCGGGCAGGGAAAGTCCTTGACCTACGACCGGTTGGGTAGTCCTCGACTTACGGCCGGTTTAGTTCTCGACTTATGACCGGTTTAGTCCTCGACTTACGACCGGTTGGGGTCGCGGCATTAAAAAGGTTGAGAACCACTGATTTAGAATATATATAATAATATACATATTAAGAGGAATGCCTTGGAAAACAGGATTTAAAATTGAAAATGAATTTATTTTATTTAATACTAATTAAATTACATAGGCGATGAGATTTTGCTATCTTTGAAATAATAGAAGTTTATTTGCATGCCATTGTATAATAGAAAGTTTTTAAATGAATTAATTTACTGCCTGACTTTCAGTTAAAAATAATGCTGAATATCACAGTAACTTATTTTTATTTTTCTATCACAGGCTTATTTTGCTGATGGAAACAAGGTATTTTTTTAAAGTTACAATAAAACTGAATTAGATTCTTGTTAACAATACTAACCACAATTTGCTTACAGTTGTTGTTGTTTTTGTCCTTCAAATAGCAACAAGACCGTGAGCCTGTTTTTTCTGAAGAGCTAGGACTCGCCATAGAAAAACTAAAAGATGGATTCACACTGCAAGGACTCTGGGAAGTAATGGGTTGATATTCATTTTAAACAGATTTAATAATTAACAAAATATACTTTGTCTCTAAAAGTCTTGCTGCAGTCTTTTTAATCAGTTAAGCTATAAGCTACCTCTATTACATAGTTGCAAGAAGAAAATAGTGTTCTTGTATAGTTTTAATGTAATTGCTTTTATATATAAGATATTTAAACTCTGCTTTGTACCTTTATACAGTACTTTAACTGCTTGCGTTAACATCCATTGTGTATTATTTAAATGTCACTGTAAATAAAACTGATAGTTCATAGTGTAAACTGAGAAAAGATGTTCTAAATTTGAATGTTGTGGTTGCTTTGGTATGGTGTTCTGCTCTATATCTTTCAGCTGTGGCTCACAATGAGTCCTAAATGAAGAAGCAAAACAGTTCATACACCCCCAAGTATGAAGATAATTTTGCTGGGCCTTTAGACTCAAGGGAATTGTCTTTCCCACTGGAATCCATAAGTAGGGGAGATATATTGCTACTTCTTGTCCCAGGTTGTGTCTCTTCCCTGACAATGAAACGTTTGGAATGAACAGATTGGGGGCTAATTCTGATTTACTCTGGAGTAATTTACTTTGTGGAATTAACTGCCATGGTGGGAATCTTCTCTGCCAAGTGGCTGACTAGTTTCTGAACTAAGAGAACCACTAAGGCAGGGGTATCAAACTCAATTTCACTGAGGGTCGCATCAGCATTGTGGTTGCCCTGGGGGGGCCAGGTGGTGTGGCCAGAGTGGGTGCAGCCTACTGGGTGGGCGTGGACGGAGTGGGTGTGGCCTACTGGGTGGGCGTGGCCAGTTCTATATCATTTGCGTCAAGGGTGCCTGTGCGGGCCTGGGCAGGAGTGGGACAGATCTGAGGATCTCTGGCAGAAGGGGATGGGACCGGGGCAAGTGCCAAGGTATGGTCCACCAGGGCAAGTGCCAAGATGACCACCACAAAATTGTACATTGGCTCCCAGCTGGCCTGGGCCAGGGCCAAGGCAGCGGGGGCCGTTCCCTCACTGTTTCCAGGATGGCTTCGCAGGCCACATGAAACCACTTCGTGGGCCGCATCCGGCCCCCGGGCCTTGTGTTTGACATGTCTGCACTAAGGGGAGAGTGACTTTTCCAGTGCTACTTAATCTTTAGATGACTTTTGATACCACCAACCGTAGTATTCTTCTGAGACAGTGACAAGAATTAACTGAACTCTTAACTGTTAAGCAGTGGTTCTCCTTCCTGAAGAGTGTGTTCCAGTTGATAGAAAATTGGAAGGGAAGAGGTCAAAACCTAGGGAGCTCCAGGTCACGGGGAATCTTTCCCTGTTGTTCTACATCTTTGTGAAATCACTGGGAGAAGTCATTGGTGGCACAAGGTAATCTGGTATTTCATCAATATGTGGCTGATACAAAGTGTTAGCCACAAGAAACCAGAACATCTCCAAAAAATGATTGAAGACGTTTCTNCAGGTTAGGGGTCTAGGAGTCGACCTCTGTCCCCCTGCCAATACAGACTGCGTACGGTCGGTGAGGAAGGAGGAGAACCACTGCATAACGGTGCCTCCCACTCCCAACTCACCGAGACGCCGCAGCATGATACCGTGGTCCACGGTATCAAAAGCCGCTGAGAGGTCCAAAAGAACAAGGACAGAGGAATAACCCCTGTTTGACATAATAATGACCATGATAAATTAGCAGCAGGTGGCCAATCAGATCTCTGAATGAAACATGCCATACCAGCTTGGTCATGTACTATTTTTGAGCAATGTATTCCTATAAAAATTCCTATAAAAATTGTGAGTGCAGTCTTAAAATTGTCTGCTTCTGAGAAGTTGGAGTAAGACTGAATAAATGGCTTTGGAAATGCATGTGTCATTGCTTATTACTTTTCTCATGCTGCTGCTGAGATTAGTATTTAAAAATAGCTTCCAGCCTTGAACTGTCCAGTTGCTTTTGTAACAGTATCTTAAAAATTATATTCATTCACAAAAAAATGGTACATGAAAATGAACACATGGAAACCCAACTAAAATGCATTGTATTATACACACACACACACACACACACATATATATATATATATACACATACAAATTATCTAATATACATATATATTATACAATGCATTTTAGTTGGGTTTACACACAGACACACACTTTATGTATAGACATATACTGTGTGTATATTGTGTATTTCTACATCCATCCATCCATCCATCCATCCATCCATCCATCCATCCATCCATCCATCCATCTATCTATCTATCTATCTATCTATCTATCTATCTATCTATCTAATCTATCTATCTATCTATCTATCTGTAGATAGTATCTATCTATACTTCTGGTTAAGAAGTAACTCTCACTGCACCTTCTAGTTGTTTTTCTTAAATGTTCAGTTTATCTGTATTACACATTTAAACATGATTTATGGTAAAGTAATACCGTGCCATTGATTTCTCATATGATAATGAACCATTTTTGAATCCATAAAATATACCTGATTTACTGAATTTGGATAATTATGCTGAAGCATAATTATTATGTAAGTTTTGTTTAACATATTACTCTTTTACAGACTGGAGGATATGTGCTTGGATTTAAGATTGACCCAATTGAAAAATTAGAGGAAACCGCAAAAGAAATAAATTCATTGCATAAAGTGTTTTCAGTCAGTCCTATATTTGGAGTAGATTATGAAATGGAAGAAAAGGTACACTTTTTGAAATTTCAATAAATCCCAGCTTTTGTTTAAAGATATTAAACAAATGTAGGTTGTTGTTTTACATTTTTTTCTTTATTAATATTCAGCCTCAGCAGCTCGAAGATTTGACCGTAGAACAAATAGAGGAGGATGTAGAAATAGAGGCAAATGAGCAGACAGATGCCTTTGTGGTAAGTGTCTCTTAAAACTAATAAGGTCCCTGTATGCTTATGTGTACTAAACTGGTCAGTAAATTGTAATGAGCTCACAAACCGTGTCAAAATGTTAATAAACTAAGATGTATCTCTTGGATGTAATATTACACTAACAATTGTCATTTTATGCTATTAATCGAGTAACCTAAGAAATTATCAGTTAAAGTTAGTTGTCCTTTATTCATTTACTTATTTATAACTATTGTGTGCTGCCTATTCAAGCAACAGTTTATTTTCAAACAGTGAGAAATAACATTACATTAAACAAAAAATCCCAGCTCTTTTTTTAATACTAGGAATAAATTAGTTGTTTAGTTGCATGTGATATATCAGTTCAAAGCTAATTGTTTATTTGCTGTAAGTTCTATATTTAGAATATATATAATAATATACATATTAAGAGGAATGCCTTGGAAAACAGGATTTAAAATTGAAAATGAATTTATTTTATTTAATACTAATTAAATTACATAGGCGATGAGATTTTGCTATCTTTGAAATAACAGAAGTTTATTTGCATGCCATTGTATAATAGAAAGTTTTTAAATGAATTAATTTACTGCCTGACTTTCAGTTAAAAATAATGCTGAATACCACAGTAACTTATTTTTATTTTTCTATCATAGGCTTATTTTGCTGATGGAAACAAGGTATTTTTTTAAAGTTACAATAAAACTGAATTAGATTCTTGTTAACAATACTAACCACAATTTGCTTACAGTTGTTGTTGTTGTTTTTTTCTCCTTCAAATAGCAACAAGACCGCGAGCCTGTTTTTTCTGAAGAGCTAGGACTCGCCATAGAAAAACTAAAAGATGGATTCACGCTGCAAGGACTCTGGGAAGTAATGGGTTGATATTCATTTTAAAAAGATGTAATAATTAACAAAATATACTTTGTCTCTAAAAGTCTTGCTGCAGTCTTTTTAATCAGTTAAGCTATAAGCTACCTCTTTTACGTAGATTGCAAGAAAAAAATAGTGTTCTTGTATAGTTTTAATGTAATTGCTTGCATATATAAGATATTTAAGCTCTGCTTTGTACCTTTATACAGTACTTTAACTGCTTGCATTAACATCCATTGTGTATTATTTAAATGTCACTGTAAATAAAACTGATAGTTCATAGTGTAAACTGAGAAAAGATGTTCTAAATTTGAATGTTGTGGTTGCTTTGGTAGCTATGGTGTTCTGCTCTATATCTTTCAGCTGTGGCTCACAATGAGTCCTAAATGAAGAAGCAAAACAGTTCATACACCCCCAAGTATGAAGATAATTTTGCTGGGCCTTTAGACTCAAGGGAATTGTCTTTCCCACTGAAATCCATAAGTAGGGAAGATATATTGCTACTTCTTGTCCCAGGTTGTGTCTCTTCCCTGACAATGAAAAGTTTGGAATGAACAGATTGGGGGCTAATTCTGATTTACTCTGGAGTAATTTACTTTGTGGAATTAACTGCCATGGTGGGAATCTTCTCTGCCAAGTGGCTGACTAGTTTCTGAACTAAGAGAACCACTAAGGCAGGGGTATCAAACTCAATTTCACTGAGGGTCACATCAGCATTGTGGTTGCCCTGGGGGGGCCAGGTGGTGTGGCCAGAGTGGGTGCAGCCTACTGGGTGGGCGTGGACGGAGTGGGTGTGGCCTACTGGGTGGGCGTGGCCAGTTCTATATCATTTGCGTCAAGGGTGCCTGTGCGGGCCTGGGCAGGAGTGGGACAGATCTGAGGATCTCTGGCAGAAGGGGATGGGACCGGGGCAAGTGCCAAGGTATGGTCCACCAGGGCAAGTGCCAAGATGACCACCACAAAATTGTACATTGGCTCCCAGCTGGCCTGGGCCAGGGCCAAGGCAGCGGGGGCCGTTCCCTCACTGTTTCCAGGATGGCTTCCCAGGCCACATGAAACCACTTCGTGGGCCGCATCCGGCCCCCGGGCCTTGTGTTTGACATGTCTGCACTAAGGGGAGAGTGACTTTTCCAGTGCTACTTAATCTTTAGATGACTTTTGATACCACCAACCGTAGTATTCTTCTGAGACAGTGACAAGAATTAACTGAACTCTTAACTGTTAAGCAGTGGTTCTCCTTCCTGAAGAGTGTGTTCCAGTTGATAGAATTGGAAGGGAAGAGGTCAAAACCTAGGGAGCTCCAGGTCACGGGGAATCTTTCCCTGTTGTTCTACATCTTTGTGAAATCACTGGGAGAAGTCATTGGTGGCACAAGGTAATCTGGTATTTCATCAATATGTGGCTGATACAAAGTGTTAGCCACAAGAAACCAGAACATCTCCAAAAAATGATTGAAGACGTTTCTTTAGTAAAGAACACCAGTGTACAGTATTCTCTCCATCTGCCTGCCTTCCTTTGGGAAATGACATATATACTGCTAATGTCTTGACTTTAAACGCTTCCTCCCCCTCACAGAGTCTAAGATGGAATATATTTTAACTCCTCCTATCAGAACCTCTTCCTCTTCAGCCAGTGGTTCCACCACCATCCAGTTATGGACATCCTTCCAGAACATGGCAGAAGTTGTGATGGAGGACCTGAACCTGTCCCCAAAAGCTGATAGGGAGAAACAAACTTAGTCTGAACCCAGCAAGAGAGAATGGCTGTGGATTCACAAGCCACCTGTTTGCAAAGCTAGTCTGAATACATAGTATATTGAGAAGACTAGCTAAATGTCAACATAGGTAGAATCAATTAGTACTGAAATCTTGCAAAAGTCAGCAACATTTAATCTTCAGATCTAGCACTAGCACTGCCAGTGAAGTCTAAAAATTATATATGTGAACTTCAGTACAATGTTTCAAACAAAAAGCTTTGAATAACATCCTGATCCAATGAAAATTAAAGACCATACAGATAGTCCTCGAGTTACAACAGCAGATGGGACTGGGATTGCCATTGCTAAGCAATGTGGTCATAAATGGCAATGTCACATGACTATATCGCTTAGTGCTAGCAGCTCCAGTTGCCATTGTGACTCTAGGACAATGCAGGTCATTAATCAGGAGCCCTAGGGGTGGGGGGTACCACAGGTGGGCCAGTGGGGGTCATGGGTAGTGAAGGAGCTATGGGCAGGCACATGCTACAAAGCACAAGTAGGTGGGGCTACTACAGAGTATGAAATCCCTGAGATATCATACTCCACAGTGGGGCTATTCAGGAGAAAAAGCATTGGGAGCAACTTATATAGAGCAACTTGTTACCTGCCTTGCCGGCTTCCCTATGGACTGTTTGTGGGAAGCTGGCAGGGAAGGTAGCAAGTGGTAATCACATGATTGTGAGGGTGATGCAATGGCTGCAGCTTCTCAGCCCAGTCATAAGTTCCCCCAGTTTGGTGCTGTTATAATTTTGAATAGTCGTGAACAAATGGTCGTAAGTCAAGGACTACCTATGGTACAGTACAGTACTCAAGGTCACAAATACTTAATGCTTTATTATGATTTCATTGATTCAGCTTAAGCCCTTTTCCTCTTTTCAGCCTATTTAGATTCATACATAATACAAAACACATCCTTAATTTGGTTGAGCATTCATGCCCAGACTGCTGCTATTCTCTGGATTGCTGTTTGAAACTCAATCCTAATTTTATCTTAAATCACTGCACATGTTACAAAACAATGAGATGAATAATTCCAGTAATAGGCTAAAATAAATTCCCAAATTTATCCCCTTACACAGCTTTTGGGGGAATTTGTTTTTATAGGCATGTAGATTGAAGATATTCTGTGAAATAATAATCTTTATAGGAGGTTTCAGTCATGTCTGGCTATTGGCCATCACCTGCTAACTTCCATCTTTTTTGGTTCATACTTGAGCTGAAGTATTAAGTGACACAAATGTTATAGAGACCAATTTCTTAGTCACTACATTCAAACCTAATTCTGTGCCGCTGCTAAGTCACAATGCTAAGTATACTTTACAAGTAACCTCCATCATTCAGCATGTGTAACAAGTAAAACTGATTCCCTAGTGACTAAAGCAACAGTTGCTTCTTTCAACCCATGACAGCTGCCCGCTCCATTTTCCAACACCATCCATTCTGAATTCCAGCTAGTGAAACTCTGTACTATATTTAGTTGACCAGATTAAATTACAGAAGCTTCAAGCAGGGCAATGTACATTGATCTGCCTTTTTCAGGCAGACCTAGGTACCAACAAGAGGGGTTTCTTTTGTGCTTTGGTAGCCAAGCCTTCCAGAAAATGGATTCCCAGAGAGAACTTACTGAAGAACTTCGACTTTATCAGTCCACTCTTCTTCAAGATGGCCTTAGGGAGCTTTTGGAAGAGAAAAAGTTTGTTGACTGCTCCCTAAAAGCAGGGGATAAAAGTTTGCCATGTCACAGACTAATCTTGTCAGCTTGTAGTCCTTATTTCCGTGAGTTCTTCTTATCTGAGCAAAGTGAAGATAAAAAGAAAGAAGTAGTGCTGGATAATGTTGACCCGGCTATCCTTGATATGATTGTGAAATACCTTTATTCTGCAACTATCGACCTTAATGATTCTAATGTGCAAGAGATTTTTGCTTTGGCCAGCCGCTTTCAAATTCCATCTATTTTTACTGTCTGCGTTTCTTATCTTCAGAAGAGGCTCGCTGTTGGCAATTGCTTGGCCATACTTAGGTTAGGTCTCCTCCTTGACTGCCCAAGACTTGCGTTGTCTGCCCGTGATTTTGTGTCTGACCACTTTGTGAAAATTTGCAAAGAAGAGGACTTCATGCAGCTCGCTCCCCATGAACTCATTTCGGTTATTTCACCAGACAGCCTGAATGTTGAAAAGGAGGAAGTCGTTTTCGAAGCCGTCATGAGATGGGTCAAGTCAGATAAAGAGAACCGGGTGAAGAGTCTCGAAGAAGTCTTTGATTGTATCCGTTTTCGCCTGATGGAGGAGAAGTACTTCAAGGACCACGTTGAGAAGGAAGACATCGTTAAAAGCAACCCAGACCTTTCAAAAAAAGTTAAAATTATTAAAGATGCCTTTGGTGGGAAATTGCCTGAACCTACAAAAGCCGCAGGAAAGTCAGCCAAAGGAGAGGTTAACGGGGATGTAGGGGATGAAAATTTACTCCCCGGCTTCCTAAATGATGTTCCAAGGCACGGGATGTTTGTTAAAGATCTCATTCTTTTGATCAATGACACTGCGACTGTAGCTTATGACCCTACAGAAAACGAGTGTTATTTAGCAGCACTCTCAGAACAGATTCCCAGAAATCATTCCAGCATAGTCACAAAGCCAAAGCAGGTCTATGTGGTTGGAGGATTGTATGTGGATGAAGAGAACAAGGAACGGCCTTTCCAGTCATACTTCTTTCAGGTATACCTTTATTTCTTTAACTCAGGATAAGAAAATAGACAATAGTTCCATGTGTTAAAAATCTAACATCTGTGTAGATCTTTAGTGCCTCGTTTTGATTCTTTCCAGTTCAGGGATGTATTCACATATATGCAAAAGGGTATCAATAAATTATATTCTATTAGTTTAGCGTGATTTCTAGAGAATCTTTAGCATGTTCTAATCCAGTTTCCTCTATATTTTTCTGCTATATTTTTCTTTGTGTGCAGCAAATTGTGTGTGAAAATGAACCTGTATTGGTTTCATAAGAGATGTTATGGCACCGTCTGCTCTAAAATCACTGATCAGATGGGTATTTAAACACTTGAATCAAGTCAGCTGGTGGCTGGTGGCCATGCTCAGTCCTGTCTTGTTAGTACCTTTGGCAAAAGGCCTGAAAGAAACTACTCATAGTTGTCATTACACAAGCTCTTTCATTTTTCTGCCAACTGTGAATAAGAACTGTACACAATCTTTTTGTATCCTTGTTCAAATGAATGTCTGAACGAGACTATGTCGACTTTAGTGAGGTATTTGGTGTGTTTTTAAAAAAATGTTCTTGATTCCTTATTTTTACTCATTGCTTGCCTCAATCCATATCACATGGAGCTCTTCCATTTACACATTTCCTTGCTCATTTCAACATAAGAAAGAGATATACCAAAAACAATTCCCCCTAAGTACATGTAGATAGGTTTATGTATTTGGGCACATAAAATTACATTTGATCATCTCACTAGTCATCTATATAAAGTCCATTACACTATTGGCAAACATTTGCCCATCTCTGCATTAAA